TTTTACTGTAAAATTACATTAAATGTAATTACATTTATTCACCGTATATAATATGGAAACTTGCTGTTAACCAGTTAACAGGTTTTTACTGTAGCATTTTTACAGTCTTTTACTGTTAAAATCACAATCATTTTTTACAGTGTACCAGTTTTATTGGGAAGGCTGTTTTTATTTGCTATTCCAGAGCAAATTATCCAAATGTACCAATTTTATACTGTAAAATGTAGTGAATTAAGTTAAAAATCAAGATTTAAAATGCTGTTGAACAGGAACAAAGAAGGGAAGTTTCAGTTTTGAAATGTGTTCATATAAAATACTATAAATTGTTCTTATAGAAGTCATATTGCATCTTTTCAATGAAATGTGGAACTACTACCAAAATTTGATCACGGTTGAACTGCACCCTTTCTGATTTAGTTCCTGGGCTATACAGCTTTTCCACAGAGGACACGGGACGAACTAAACACATTAGCTGTCATAGTGACAGTTATGTCATTAAAGGAAATCACTTGTATGTGAAGATATCAAGCTATTGCTTAAGCTGAATACAAAAAAGATAGAAACGTTTTGACTGACTCTGACGAGAATTAACACACGGTTGCAACAGTTTACGGTTTATCCGTGCTCTTCAAGCCATCTTGGGTATTTTTCTTAAGGATAATGAATATTTATCACGCAATGCTAATCCCCATAGCCTTTATTACTGTGTAGAATACTATAAAATAATTCATTCAGTGATGAAAAGACACTCTACTGTAGTTCACAGAAGGAAGTTGTTTCAAACACTTTATTGATGCGAGTTTGGAGTAAAAATATGTTATTCTGATATATTGTTGTACTTGACGCTGTATCACAAACTAGTGATGGTAGAAGTTAATCTTTTCGAAGCTTTGAATCAAATGAACCAGCTGCTTCACAAAATGATTAACTATTTCAAAGTGCTTATTAAAACACAAGCTGCTCACCTACTGGTCAAAACTGTGTAAATGCACCAAACTCCTACCAAAACATGCACAGAAACAGCTTTTACAAACCCATTGCAGCTGCATTATTGAAATTGTTAAAATCCATAAATACTGGTTCAATGATGGTGATCAGTGATTCATAAATCAGGCATTCTTTTGGTCAACCATAGCATACCATTTAAATCCACATTTTTATTTGCCGCTTACATAACCAGACATGTTGTCTGTATTGTAACACCCACATAGTACTACCATTGTTTTTGTTATGTTCTTTTTGTTTAATTTTAGTTCAGTTTCAATTTACTGGAAAAACAATGTGATCTCTGAACAAGTTCCAGGAACTGAATTGTTTATGCAGTAGAAAAACACCTATCATTATCTAAGCAGGAGCCATCTATGGTTATTGTTATATGTTATTATTACAAATGCCTCAGTTAAACCGAAGTCCCTTTCACTCGGCTCATCGGTCATTCAATGCTCAATTCATCACTGATTGACATATTTAACAATGTGTTTGCTGTCATCGAGAAGGCAGGTTTTGCGAATGTTAACAGTCTTTCTTGCCAATTTAGCGATTAGATTAAGCAACTTCCCCAACCCTTTTGAGACTTTTTTTAATTGCCTAGAGACAAACCTGTGACTTTTTTTAATTGCCTAGAGACAAATCTGTCGTCTCAGACTCAGCGTCGGTTGTCATCCACTATGACACACAATACAATAACACAATAAGACAAAATCATTCATTCTTGCATCCCGACGCCCTACGTACATCAAACAGATTGTGCCAAAATCGGGCTAAAATGGTGTCTGATCCCGGCATAAGTCGCACTGTTACAAGCATTTGAATATTATACATGACTTAATGGTTTTAGGTTTTCTTTAATTTTGATAAACCACTCTTATTGCTTTATTTCAGAAAAACCACCTCCCATAATCGGATGGATTGTAAAAACTGGTAAGTAAATATTATATGATATACAACAATTAATAATTAAAATAAATCAGCAATGCTTCTGTACACTTTAAAGTATTTATTACTGTAATCTATGTACTGTTTCTGTTTTTCTTTTTAGTTTTGTCCTTCATGTTTGCAGGACTGATTGGACTCGTGCTCATTACATGCTGTTTCTGGTTTACGAGATCTTGAGAATAGTTTGTTGTTGAAATAAAGGGCAAAAGAAAAATTCTCAAAAAAGTTTATTCTGAGAAAACTTTATTAACCATTTGTCCAGAGATATAATTTGGTTTGATATGTTTTCTAATCAAGTGCATTTTTGTGTTTTAAGTATGTTTTAGAGCCACTATTTTTGACCCATTAAATCACAGCATCAGTAAAACTACAAAAGTTAACACAATTTGAAGATTTATTTTTTTTTAATGACTTTATAACAGAATTGTCCATTTTAACAAACTCTTTCAAAAGACTTGCAAACTTTAATACTAGATTTGATAAAACAGGAAGAGTTTGTCTCATTGCAGTTTGGCTTTACGAGGTAAATGAGAAAATCTTGTGTTATGAACATTGTGATATATTTTGTTTAAGTTCATAAGGATATAATATAGCACATCACAAGTCCTTTTATGTAAAAGTAAATATCACATCCACAACTTTTGTTTTCTGACTTGCATCTGCTTTAATTAAAGATGTCAAAGATGTCTAACATTTTCAATGTTAAGTCTTGTTAGTATCAATATTACAATCCAGTTCAGAATTGCTTGTCAAATCATGTTTTATTTAAAAATTTGTTTGCAATAGTTATTCTAATTCATTAAAGATGTTATTTATTTATTTATTTGTGTGTTTATTTATTTTATTTTTATTTTTAGATTTTTTTACTTACATTTAAAAACTTATGTAACAGCAACCTCAATAATACACTTATATTTGCAAACTGGTCCACAAGACTTTTTGGATTAAACTTCTAGCTTTTTCTATGAATATAAAAAATATTTCCATAAATAAATGCTGAACTCATACGTCATCCACCCGGAACTGCTTCCGTTTACAACAGTGAGCGCAAGCTAGATTAAATTGATTATTACATTTTAAAAAATATTTCCATAAATAAATGCTGAACTCATACGTCATCCACCCGGAACTGCTTCCGTTTACAACAGTGAGCGCAAGCTAGATTAAAGTGATTATTACGTTTTAAATATGGTTATTTTTCTTACAAAAACGCATCGATTCGGTACAGGAGGACTTTGTTCACCCCCCAGAGCTGCGTGAGACACTTTTTATTATGGATGGGCGCTTTTTATTTAACTTCTTTTGGACTGATGAACTGCAACACCCGCTGACTGCAATGATAGAGCTTGAAAGATCAAAGACAATTTTTAATATAACTCCGACTGGATTCGTCTGAAAGAAGAAAGTCATATACACCTAGGATGCCTTGAGGGTGAGTAATTTACGGGCTAATTTTCATTTTTGGGTGAACTGTCCCTTTAAACAGGGTTTTTTCCACACTGAAAATTTCAGACGTTTAGTTATTTTATAATATTTAATTTGGCATGAGAACCACTGGTGTTAAGATGGAAACGTGATGACAGAGACTTATCAATTACACTCAGTACATTAATACATACAGGGTTTGCTTTAGAAAATCTTGCACATATACAAAAATAGTTTAATAACTAAAAAAACAAAACTATTGTTTTAGTGGTACAGGAAAAGTTACCTTAATAATAATGTACAAATTTAGAAATAATGTTTACAATAATGTACAATTTTGTGCTGAAATCATTAAAATGCATAAAGTTAGTATTCCTCCAGGGGGCGCTTGACATAATAAAACATTGAGAGATTCTGGAGCCTCAGAGTGAATACAAACTTTGATAAAGGCAAGCAAATACAGATTTACATTTACATTTACATTTACATTTAGTAATTTAGCAGATGCTTTTATCCAAAGCGACTTACAAATGAGGACAATAAAAGCAGTCAAAACTAACAAAAGAGCAACAATATATAAGTGCAAATGACAAGTCTCGGTTAGCCTAACGCAGTACACGTAGCAAGGTGTATATATATATATATATATATATATATATATATACATAATATATATATACATATACAGGTCATTCCACCAGGAGGGAACATTTAATTTAAAAGTCCGTAAAAGTGATTTTGTGCTTCTTTGGGATGGCACAATAAAGCGACGTTCACTTGCAGAATGCACACTTCTAGAGGGCACATAAGTCTGAAGTAATGAATTTAGGTAAAGGGGTTCAGAGCCAGTGGTGGTTTTGTAGGCAAACATTAATGCCTTGAATTTAATGCGAGCAGCTACTGGTAGCCAGTGCAAATTGATGAACAGAGGTGTGACATGTGTTCTTTTCGGTTCATTAAAGATTAATCTTGCAGCGGCATTTTGGATTAACATGATCAACATGACAAGTAACAGATGACAAATAGACAGTAGTAAAGTGAGATCTGTGTGTCTTATCTAAGAGAAATATCTCATGTTCAGTCAGTAAAAGAGCTTCAGTATTAAAAATGTCTGATCTGTACAATAATAATATTGATATAATAGTTATCTTATATTAACTATGTTATATAGGTCATATTTACTAATCTAGTGTGAACAGCGCAATATTTGGTAATCATCAGTATTTATCAAGACAAACACTCACATTTGACACTTTGAGCATTAATGAGAAAATATGTTGCTGTTTGATCTCAAATCATCTAGGTTGGAAATGAACCGCCTAAAACATAAAAAGCCATCAAAAATAAATGAAATTAATAAATGATTAAAAAAATTTAAATGAGAAATTTCATCAATCATGTACTTGGTGTGTGAATCTGTGTTTGATCTTGTTCAGCTCTTCTGGATCTGATGTCATAAACCAGAAGAATGACAGTAGCCACGCCCACCAGAGCAGAGAGGACCAATCGGATCACAGCTTCAGTAGAACCACAGCAGTGGACAGAGTCTGAGGAAAAAAAACACCAAACTGAGATCAGCTCAGTCAATAAACGTTAATATCAAGTACATTTGAAGGACAGGACAAATGATCTCTACTAACAATAGACAGAAACACTGAAAGCTTTTAATGACTGATTTGGTCCTATTATCAGTAGTAAATAACTTCCAGCATGTTCAGTTCTGATGTTTGTGATGGTCAGAGATCCAGTTTGATTGTCCAGCTTCAGTCTGTCTCTGAATCTCCCGTTAAGAGCATCATCATATACAGTGATGCTGTTGGTCGGTTTATAGATTCCAGCTATGAAAGCATTCTCATTCATATATGTCCACTGAATCAGATCATCATTCATCATTTCAGTAAGATCAGAGTTCAGAGTGACTGAATCTCCCTTCTTCACTGATATTTCATCTGCATCATCAAACACACACAGAACAAACAGAAACAGTTAGTGAAAAATGAATCCTGTTTAAATACTTTATGTAATTAGTTTGAAATTACATTTTCAAATGAATAATAAAAATATAAAACAACAGAACAGACACCAAAGCAAAATAGTGTGTGGGATAAGATCTGGTGATTAAAGGGGAGGTCTAATGCTATTTCATGCATTCTGACTTATTTTCACTGTTAAAGTTGGATTCTCATGCAAAACATGGTCAAAGTTTCAGAAAAACGTGTCTTTTATAAATCTAATAAAACTAAAGATTCTTCGGAGATATGAAGGATGCAATACTACTCTATGAGTACTCAAGATTAATATGAGATTGGCAGAAACTGTGTGTGTTATGTCCCCTTTAAAAAAAAATAAAACAGGTGGAACAAATATGCAACTCACCATTGACAGAGAGAAAGAACGTTATTCTCATATTGTTGTTCTCTACTGTATAAACTCCATTATGTTGAGTTGTGGTGTTTGTGATGGTCAGAGATCCAGTTTGATTGTCCAGCTTCAGTCTGTCTCTGAATCTCCCGTCAAGAACATCATCATCTATAGTGACGATGTCTGCCGTTATATTGATTTTAGCTATTAAAGTATTTTTAATCCAAAACCTCCACTGAATCAGATCACCATTTCTTATTTCAATAAGATCAGAGTTTAGAGTGACTGAATCTCCCTCCTTCACTAACACTGACTTCTGTCCATCTGCACCAAACAGTCCTGAAGAACAGAGTTTGTCACAGATTAAAGCTTTAGAATCACTTGATGTTGGTTTGATGAAGCTTCACTAAAATACTTGATTTAGATTTGAAGTTAGTAATATTCTGCAGCAAAAGACAAAAGATGATGAATGAAAAGAAAAAAATAGAAATAAAAGAATAAAACTACAGTAGGGGCCATACTGATGTCAGGCCTAAAAAAATTGACGTTAAACCTTTATTCAGATTATTTAAAATTTGTTACAGATTTTGTAAGTATATTGCATAGTTGTGCTTGGAGTCAATCGCTTTATGATAATGCAATGAAATATGCCAAATAGTGTGGACATAATTTTTGGCAAGGATGTCATAGAAAGAAATTATGAATACATGCAAAAACAAAAGAGAACCAACAATATATTAATAACAGATTATGTTCTAGTCAACGTATGGTTTTTCCCTCTGAGCTTTTGTTTTTCAATGCATTTTTTCCCATCATAAAATAAAGCCTGTAGCTGTATTGTTGTTGTTTTTTTGTTTTTTGGCCAAATAATTTTGTCAGATAAATATCTTAACCAAATGTAGTGTTTTTGTTCTTCCCTTATATGATGCAAAATATTTTAAAATATTTAAATATTTTCCTCATGTTTTGATGGTTTAAATAAATCTTGTACAGTCATTAAAAACAAAACAAACCAATCCACTCCGGACATCAATTTTGGCCACTAGTGTAAATAAAAAAAGACACTTTTATTTTAATCTTTGTTGTCACACTAAAACTTATGCTGTTGGGTTTTTGAGCTTCATATTTATTTTATTTAATAAATCACTGATAGGCCTGATTAGACCTAAATTTAAACTTGATCTTAAATTATTTCTGTATGAGAATATCAGTGAATGTTTATCCTCTCTGACTAATTTAACCAGTAATTTATTACATGTTCCCAGAACAGAAGCAACAGAAGCCATAAAGATGAATTTAAACTCACCAACCAGACGCCACAAACACAAACAGAACCATAATCTGTGAAACATCGTCAATGGTTTCAGTCCACAAATATGAAAAGACAAACTCTTCGGAACTGGTTGAGTAATAAAATGACAGATGTGCTGATGTGAGGCTGATCTAAAGTGATGTGAATCTCAGTCAGTCAAAATGCATGTGAACATCCAGCTTTCACAACATGTTAACTTGACTGCTTTTTGCTTCATTCCGCCTCCACTTCCTGTTGATCAATAGTGTTAGTTTACACAGAAATAAACTGAGCCATAACATGATCAGAGACTAGAGAAGTTAAGAGTGTCTTAAAGCAGCGTTTGATCTGCTCATGAGATCCTGAGAGTGTTTGGCCCTGCTCTCTCCTGTTTGTTCTTCATTTCTTATCAAATGTCTCAGTTGTTTCTCCTCTCAGACTGATTTCAGAGTTTCTAATGGCTTTATGGAGCAGGAACAGATCACCTGCTGTTGAATGTCGAATGTGTGAGATGAACATCAAACATCTCAATGTTGAGATCCAAACTAACAACCTTCATAGTTCTTAGTTCAAACTGACTCCATTCAGCACTGACGGAGCTTCAGATTTCATTAGATGTGATGTTGTGTCTGATTCCACAAGCTCTGTTTAACTGTAAATATAGTTTAAAACACACTGACTTATTTCTGTGTAAAACATTGTGCACTATGTGCATGTAAAACAGTTGTCAGTTATATTCTATGAAGAGTAAGAACACTTTATGCAACACAAGTTTGCACAAGAAAGACAAAATTGCAGCAACATGAAATGTAGAAATACAAAAGAAATGCTTGTCTCCACAACACTGCTTGCGTGGTCAACCACTTTCACAAGAAAAACCACACTGGTAAACTAGCTTCCCCATCGCAGGCTTGCTTTCAAAACAGCATGACCAACATTTTCCTGCAGAGAGGTTTAATTTTGACTCACAAACACAGCTACTCACACTACATTCACACAATGAAAACAGTGGCCTGTAAATCTGATTCATTCAGTTGAAAATGAGATCAGTTTTGCTGAATTTGGAACATTTGATGAGAATTGTTTGAGTTCATGAAAATATATGTGCATTTTTGATTGCAGAAACACTTTTTGAAGCACATGCGAGTTTTACCTTGGTCTTTTCTTCCGGAGAAGCTGAGAAGTGTAGAGGCCTGGATCAGTGTTTCCTGAAATTCAAGTTATGATTCACTTACACAAAATCCTCATATTTTAACTGTTCACTAGGTATATAACACTAACGAGTGCCAGAAAAACATACACTCAAAAGATTAAACAATATTTAGTGCACAATTTAGTGCTCCAATACAAAAAAAGCCTCTGAAGCGTTTCTTTTGATATTCAAGCAAATGGGAACGCACAAATCATATTCGCTGTAGTCTCCCATTCACCAAGGTATATCAATCTATGACGACTTTGCATGTAAAAAGCGTCCATATGGGAAAGCAAACTCATATTTATGTATATTATTCAGCACATTAATACAACTAGTTATGTTTTTAGCTGTACATTCAATTCAATTCAAATTTAGTTGTATAGTGCTTTTCACAATACACATTGCTTCAAAGCAGCTTTACAGAAAATGCATGTGTCTACATTACAATTTAGAGTGATCTGTTATCAGAAGTGAATGTGTCCAAGTAATGTTCATTTCACAAATAAACAGTTCAAGGTAATGGATTCTGTAAATGTGGTTTGCTCCAGAAAATCTTGTGGAGAAACAAAAACAACAATTTAACAATAATAAAACATAAAATAGCCTACTTTGTCTGGTATAAGACAAAAGAGCTTAAAGTCCAAAGGCAATTCAGAGAATTGTTTCTAAATGCATGTTAGTTCTGTCAGGACCACTATCGTCAAAATGACTAACTAGCATACAGTTTTGATTTTGGCGGAATGGTTCTGTTCTGAAAAAGCGGAGACTGGGCCATCATGCTCTTATTTAATAAGCGACTGAGAAGAGCAGCATGCCCCTTTAATTGTTACCTGAAAAGATTAAGCAACAAGCATATGGTCAATACCCGAAGTTTAGCAACAAGCATGTTGCCCGTATTCAGATAACGTTGTTAGCATTTGAATAACAACAACAACCTTTAGTAGTGAAATTACATAATGTGCGTTAAGTAACAAGCATGTTACCGATACACCAGATAGCTTTAAGCAACAGCATGTCTGATACAAAACTGACTTAACACAGCATGTTGGCAATAATGCAATAATGAAATAATTTCACTTCTTTTGGACTGAAGCACTGCAACACCCGCTGACTGCAATGATAGAGCTTGGAATAGGACAATTTTTAATATAACTCTGACGGGATTTATCTGAAAGAAGAAAGTAACATACACCTAGAATGCCTCGGGGTTGAGTAAAACAGCCTAATTTTCATTTTTGGGTGAATTAACCCTTTAAAGACATCTTCTAAATGTCTATTTGACATCTGATAGGAAACGTCCTATAGACGTATTGCAGATGAGCAAACACTAAAAAAATACGTCTTGCAGATGTAAATGCAGACGTCAAATAGAGTGTCTGTGATGTAAGTGTGCTATCAGGGAACCAATATAAGCCTAAAGCAACAGCATGCCTAGCAACAAGCATATTACTGAACAACTAGCCTTAAACAATTAGCAATATTTGCCAATATATAATTTTTCCAATATAGCATTAGCAATGAGAATAAAAGAAGAAACTTAGCTTAGCTTCGTGAAAACATTCAGAGATAAATAAAGGGTGATATAGCCAGCTCTGAGGTGGATGCTTGATCCGCTTCTTGATATCTTATTTCTTCCAGCGGGGAAGGCAGATCTCGTGCAAAGTGTTGCTGATGCAGTCATAACTTCAGCGATGATTTGTGGGCAACGAGTCCATGTCAATCATGTATCATTGCGAGAAGCGGTGCTCACTCATATCAATCAATGCGGCGAATTCGTGTTCAAGTTCACGAACTGGAATTGGATGAGAAACTGTGGGAAACTAACCCCTCTCGTAAAATTCCTGATTGTACGCTTCCTACAGAGACGGAATTCGCCGTCTAATTTGCTCCTGAGCAAGAGATAAAGCTGCTGAATAATACCTTATATAGAAATGCTGTGACATGCGTCGCATTCCAATAGGTAAATGATCAGCTGAGAGTCAGCCGATGCTAGCTTGGCTCACGTGACCTGCCAGAACTAATGCTAGACGCTTCATAAATGTACCCTGACAGCACAGGTACATCACTGAGATGTCTATTTGATGTCTGCATTTACATCTGCAAGACGTATTAGAGTGTTTGCTCATCTGCAATACGTCTATAGGACGTTTCCTATCAGATGTCAAATAGACGTTTAGAAGATGTCTTTAAGATGTTTATGATTTAGAATGCATGTAAAACTGACATCTTAAAGATGTCTATCAGATGTTTGTACACAGCAGATGCTTTCCAGATGAAGGGATCTTTAACAGACATCTTGCAGACGTACCTGTGCTGTCTGGGTATTGCTCAAACATGTTACAAAGACTGTGAACTATGTGGTATACTGGGTTGTTTAGACCATTATACAGTTTTTCACCATTTTTGTGTTCAGGATTTTTTGGGCGAGGCTGAAATCATGTCTAGATGATGCACTGGAGTCACTGCGCATGGCCCCTCCCCTAACACTACTCCCAGATAGCAAATAAAAATAAAATGTTTTAATTTGTTTTCATTTGAAAATAAAACATGGAGAAAGTCTTGAACCTCAGAGTGAGAAAACTTTATTGATAAAGTAAAGCAAATGCAAATGGCAAATGGACAGCAGTAGTAAAGTGTGTATTATCTGAGAGAAATATAAACAATAAGTCCTTTCACACTGGATCTGTCCAATAACACTGCAAGACAGGTACTTTTCTAAAAGCTCTTAAACCCCTGAATCAAATATAAAAGATTACATCAATATCAGCAGATGAATATAGCCCCGTTTCCACAGGAACTTTACCTAGGGACTAGGGACTAAGGACTAGGGACTTTGGGCAGGTACTCGGTGTGTTTCCACCGCAGGAACCAGGATCTAAATAAAGTTCCGTGTAAAAAATGGCCCCTCAGAAAGTCCCTGCTCACGAGGTAGTACTTTTTCAAAGGTCCGGAACTTTCGGGGAAGGGACTTGGGCGCTAAACATGCTGATTGGTTGAGTTCACGAAGCATTGTATTTCAATCACCAATTATTCGGATAAGTTTCAAAATATTACTGTTATTGTGTCATGAAATGTAGTTTTTAAAAGTATTTCAGGCGAGAATGTAGTTGTTTAAAACTCAAATCTGCGGTTTATTTGTAAAGACAGCGCCTATTTAAAAATGTGTTTCGCCGATTTCGGAGACGATCAGCTACACGTGATCAGCGGGCGCTCAGTGCTCATGTTTCCCGACGAGAGCAGCCTCAACTCGGCTAGTCCTTCTGACATTTGCTGCTGGCTCTGAAGTCTCTTTAGTGGTTAAACATAAGATATAATTCGTTTTGGGTAAATCTAACAGGTAATCTTTGGTCTTTATTCTATTAAGCTTATGGGGCTGTCACGTGATGAACGAACGACTCAAACCCGAAGACTCGAAACAGGTGAACTACTTGACTAATTCCAGTACAGAACCTATAGGATGTTGCGCATGCGCGACTGAACGAATCACTCCCCGA